GTGTGTGTGAGCGTGTGTGAGCGTGAGTGTGTGTGTGTGAGCGTGTGTGTGTGAGAGAGTGTAGGCCAGCAGAGGAATGACAGCTACTTTATACAGCACTGCTTCACAGGACATTTCTGGTAGTTTTTGGTTACAGGAACTATGGACTCATAATCAATTCTCTAAAATGGCTTTCATAGTAATATGGCTTTATGTTAATGGAAATAATGATATTATTGATATCTGATATGATCAACAGGGCTTCAAGTCAACATGAAATGAAAATTAAGCCTATTTATTGTCTTCGTAAACCAAGCTTAACCGGACTTGACAACAGTGTTTGTCTGTATGAAAACATTGACATCAGCTAGACTGTGCGGGATACGGATTCATATCAAACAACAGCCAAATATCTCTTTAGAAACGGTCAAACTAGTACTGATAGTGTGAACAGTCATTTAACTGCATATCAGTAACAGCACTGGAATCAGACCTCATGTTTTTTCTGTCCGTGACACATCTGCTGCTCAGGAGCCGCGGCGTCAGCGGACAAACCTCACCAAAGGCTCCGTCAGTGACGTGCAATAACCAAACGGCTCAAAGAAACCAAAGAAACCAAAGGCTCGAGCGGCAGCCGCTTTCACACATAGTGCAAATCAAATCATTTCAACATTTTATAAAAGAGAAAATAGTGGTTCTATTCAAAAAGAGAGAAGAACAGGCTGTGTTTTTTTACTTTTTTTCCATCTGTACACGTGCTTTCCTGGTGACCCTCTTTCGTGTTTTCACAATGACATCTGTTGATCTTTACGAGAACAGCTGGATCAGTAGTGGAGGACGTGACAGTGACACATGCAGCGCGACAGCACGAGAAACATCGAGAGAAGCGGTTCTGTCAGATATTTACACCAGCAGTGTTGTGTAAAGCTGAGGCTCCCATGGGGAGTCACACACACACACACCGTCCCACATGAGGGTCTAAATCAGGCTAAGCCTTTCAAACACAGGCCGGGAACGAGCTCCTGCAGATCAGACATCAGCGTGTGCAACAGTACCGAGATCGCCACACAGGACAGGAAATCCTGTCCACTCATCACCGTTTGAAGCACGAGTTAAAGACGAGTCCACAACATCATTCACCCCGGAATCTAAAGAAAGAGATTAGAAACTCGATTTTGCACAAGAACATGAAGCCTGTGAAGATCTTTGATTTTCTTTTAAATCACCATAAAATACATTCATTACAACAAATACTAACGTGATGCATATTTACTTTACAATTTAAATAATAAATCATTATAAAAAAAAATAGGCTTCATTGTTTTCTGCAAAACACACATATATACATATATTTTGGATTTGGGTGTAAGAAGATAGTATTAAGTTAAGTTGACGTGTTGGACTCGGACGGGAAGCCTCTCTAGAGTTCATCATGTTCCTGATCTTCTCGTGAGGACTGGACTTGCATTTCAGCAAACATCCAGATGAAAGTACGCCAATGCGCAATCACTATACAAAACAATGCCTGCACATATACAACATGTCAAACATTTACAATGTGTACTGTAACTCTGTTTACACTGCGGACTATTAGTGCCAAGACACTGATGCTTGGCGTACCTAAGGAGCACGAGGACACTGATGATGTGCGATGTGTCTCGTGTGTTCTGGTGCGTTCATATCTCATCACCAGATCAACCAGAGCAGCTCAGTCAGAGCTTCCTCACAGAGGTCGTGTGGACGAGACGTGAACGCACCATCAGGACCGTATGAAGAACACCGCACTGTAAGCCACACCAGACATGCATGAGTCTGTGAGCTGATGCTGTGCGTCAGACTCGAGCTCAAACATCTGTCCAGATGTGTTATGTTGTGAGGAGGCATCGTGGGTTGCTTGGATTTGCAGAAGCATGGTGTGTTCAGCCGCAGATGTCCTGTGGTGGATCTGCAGCGATCGGCTCTCACTCAGGCTGCTCTGGGTGCGTGTGAAGCCCGTTCTTGCCGCTCGAGTGTTCCTGCCAGAAGGCTTGATGAATGACTTCCAGCTCAGACACCAGGTGAAGCCCCATCTCCATGTGCATCTTCAGGTTCTCCAGCCACGACTCCAGCTTAGCAAACGCAGGCCTGCCAGCGCAATTTCACAATGTCATTATTTTAGCTTTGGAAAAACTACAGTAATTGCTTAAAAATAACTATATTGTTATTTATATATTGTTTATGGTGCTGTCGATTTAACACATTCATTTGATGCAATTAGTAATAGAAAAAGTTACATGTTAAAATGATGCAGAACAAAATGATGAATTGTGTGATGATTGATGAAGCCTATCAGAATACAGTTATATGAGCGTAAAATATGACCCTCTTACATTTATATCATATGATACGGTTTAGCGATATCACACCAGCAAGACTGCTGCTTTTCTAAAAGATTAGCTATAAAGTCACAGCAGAGCTGTTGAGCATCTCTGATCAACACAGCGGTGATTCCTTACTGAATGAATCAAATGAGTCAATGATTCAGTGACTCAGTCACTTGCTCCATTTCTGAATTTCATCAGTTGTTTGAATGAATCATTTGAATGAATGACTGAATGAATCACTCATTACGTGACTCGCCGCCACCTACTGGCAGTTTTAGTTTGAAATTGAGATTATCATTAAAAAAATTTTTAAACCATTTCATATTTCAATATTTAAAAAAAATTTAAAAACCCTATTGATATTAATTTATTATCATTATGCAATGCTGAATCAAAATATGTGACCCGTGCTGGCAAAATGAGCATGAATGCACACAGTCTAATTTTGAGCTACAGGCAAAATAAGCGAAAGATTTTCGGTTTTGATTGAATTTGAGGTTTTCACAAAAATGAGTTCATTAAGCCCTCTTCTAATGATCCCAGTGCTTCAAAAAGAAATTAAACATCTAAAATGATCTTTATTTGTTCGTTTTCTGAGAGGAGTACCTTTTCCTCTGCTCACTTCTGGACGACTGCTGCTGCTTCTCATCACAAGTCGTAGGATATATCGTCGGACTCTGTATGACACGAGTCTGAACTAGTAAAATATGATTTTCAAACCCATGCTGATGAAAACAAACCGATCGTGCTGTCTGACATCTGCCTCCCCGAGAGCGCGCGATCTCCCTATAAAGTACACTATTGCGAAATATGTCTTGGCGAGATTCACAAACATAATCTGTTGTGTCTTACATTCTTACATGAACGTTTAGTTAATGCAAAATCTGATGTGTAACATTATATTAGATGCATGCTCTACAGTAGGTCACAATACTGATCTGTCTCCATGTTAATCAAACATTAAAAGAAAAGACGGAATCATTCGCTGCTCTTGATTAAACTTATTTTTAATAACAAAGATAAAATAAAAAACGGCTATATTGTGATTAATTATATATTCATTATAAATATGCAAGGTTGCTCTGTGATTTTGCTTTGTAACCTTCAGAAAACTTTAACTCGATGTTTCTCAAAACTGACTTTGCGGACTCTATCGCCTTCATATGGCTGTAGTGCAGTCATTTTGTGTCCGATTCCTACAAGTTAGATATCATTGTGAAGGTAATGTAATGTAGAATGTTTGAAAATTTGCTCATTCCGACACATTTTGCCAGCACGGGTCACAAATTTCTTTCCCAAGCTACTTTTTTGTAATGTCTATTCAACGCTTTTCTCATTTAACAACGATTTTAAATGATCTTTTGGGGGTAATTTCTAATTTGCAAATAATTTGGTTAATTAATCAGCACATGCAATTAAACAGACTAAAAATTTGAATCACTTGACAGCCCTAATTGCTTATATTTATGTATGTTATGCAAATATGACACGTATGTTATGTATGGACTTTTCTAACCGTTTGTCAGCGTCCAGATCGCAGCAGAGCGCCGCCATGGGGAAGAAAGCGGTCGGGCAGTCAGGCGGGCAGTGATCCTCCAAAAACTCTGTCACGTTCAGCCCGAAATCCATGGCGCGGGGCAAGAAGTCGGGATCGGCGTTGACTCGGCCGATGATCTGAGTCGGAGAGGAGAGACGGATTCAGAACAGAGGAAGCAGCGTCAGGTTTCCTCTCAGCGCCGGGCTTCTCTAAACCCCAGCAGAACACATACTGAACCAACCACTGCTTCCCCTCCAGCTGCCTGCTCCGGCTGCGGTTTGGTGATGACGGAGTAATGTTTCTCATTAAACACAGAGCCTGCAGCTTGATGTGGAGAGAGCTGTTATCCTGAGCAAACACTCACCTCACACAGCATGATGCCGAACGAGAAGATGTCCACCTTCTCATCGTAGCTCTTCCCTGAGGAGCAGATGGAGAAACATCAGTCTCACGGTCCACCATATCACTGACTGAAACTGTTACTAGCCCTGTTACCAGCATTAACGCTAATAAATCTGATTAAAGAGTTTGATTTCACATTTTAACATTCTTTTGTGTCTGCATATATCAACCTACAAGTTGACCTACGACCTACAAATGAAAAGTATGTTTGAAACATTAAATAATGATGTGCTCTTTCACATATATTAAAGCTGTAAGGAAAGGATTTAAGTACATGATTTGAAACATAATTTTTCAAGAACTTGGCACTTTTAATAAATCTTCTCTAGAATTAGATTTTTCATAAAACAGCACAAGAGCATTTTGTAAGAACATTATGATTAACACACGGAATAATACATTAATAATAAATCTGCAGACATGACGGACGCTAAAGCCAGTCGTCTCTGACCGTGAATCATTTCGGGAGCCATCCAGTACGGGTTTCCCACCACGGTGTATCTCTTCCTCCTGTCGGGTTTCCTCACGCCCGGGATCTGTCCTGACGTCAGCTTGTCCTGATTCTTGTCCTCCACCATGAGTCGAGACAGTCCGAAATCCGCCACAACAACACTGTTATTCTGTCAAGAGAAGGACACTACTCACAGATATGCACAACACAACACAACATAACAAAAAATACAAAACACAACACAATCACACACACACACACACACACACACACACATGTGCTTGCGTGACTGACCTCTCTGACCAGGCAGTTGTGTGAGTTGAGATCTCGATGGATGATGTTCATGGAGTGCAGGTACGTCTGAGTCAAACAAAGAGAGAAGCTGATGTGAAATACTGCCCTCTGCAGGTCACACGCTTCATTCATGTACTGCCACCATTCATCACAGTGTTGTTCTTTTCATTTTAATTCAATTTGTTTTTCATCATTATTGGTTTAATCAATGGATGTTTTTTGTTTTTCAGGGTTTTTTTGCTGGTTTTTGTTTGTTTTTAGTTGGAAATATTTTGCACTGTGTTTTACTAAGCAAAACTAAAATGAATATATGGTCATTTATAATTTATTTCCGTTTTAGAGTGAAAATTAGTTTATTACTTTAGTTTTCCTAAACAGGCTTCTTTGAGCTTTTTCAACTTTTTAGCTCATAAGATAGGAATGTAAAATAATTGAGTAGTCATGTGACCTGCAGTCACACACGGAGTGTCCAGATGAGAGCAGTACTGACAGCACTCACCATCCCAGAGGAAATGTCCTTGGCAAAACTCACTCTCTGTTGCCATGAATAATCACTGTCCTGTACAGATCAGACATTCACATTCAGAAAGATGATACTACACATACAACAGTACAGCATAAGTACAGCATTTATACTGTATGTACAGTATGTGATGATGAAAATACTGTCCTGAACATGTGACATGCTTTATATTTATCACTTTAAACAAACTCACACTCACACACACACACACACACACACACACACACACACACTCACTCACACTCACACTCACCATATTCTTGATGATGTCTCTCAGTGTTCCTCCTTTGATGTACTCAGCGATGAAGTTGAGTCGTTTGTCTTTGTAGAGGACGCCGATGAACTTCAGCACGTTCGGATGATCCAAACATCTCATGACCTTCACCTGAACACACAGCGACACCACCGCGTCACACAGAGCAACGGTCACATCTACAGTAGATGAGCTGTAGAAACCCATTCAAATCTCACACACAAACTAGGTCGCTCTTCATTCTGATGACTAACAGCAGTGTTTCCCAAAGCGATGTGTCAATGAGACGGTGTTGAATGTGTGGAAGTGGCTAATGTTGTGAAACTCTAGAGGAGACAGATGTGAGTCTCTTCTCAGAGCGAAAGCTTAGCTGATGGACTGAGACGCCGGTTCCTCTAGACAAAACTGAGAGCAGTAATGTAGAGGAAGCTCTAGAGATCTAAGATCCCACACAACATTCATGATGAATGCCAAAAGCACACACAAACACCATCCAGCAGAAACACACCTGACCCACAATCCCATCAGTCTGGTGTGTGCTGGTCTGATCTGGTTTGGTATTTGTAGTGAACAATAATAACCCTGTCCTGTAATCATGATGAACGGTTCAATGCTGGATTCTGATTGGCTGATAAACATTGTTCCCGGGTGAGGATTACTTTCGGTTTCTATATGGCTTTCGAGTGTTTAATATCACTACATTCCTGCTGAACTACTCTCAGCCTTCCAGCAGGACGCTTAATGGAGCAGATGTGCACACGAGAGCGCTTCAGGAGTCCCAGCGCTCCGGCCTCAGTGTCAGCAGCGCTCCAGCACGAGCTCAGGTGTGGATGTGCTGATCTCTCCTCGGATGACCCGTCCGGACACTCACAGCTGTCCCATCGGGCCATTCAGACACAGCCAACTATGGGAGCTAATCCTAAACGAATCAAAGAAACACGAGCGCTAGCTGACGGCTGAGTGTTTGCGTGGTCTTTCATCTGGTGAAGCTGCGGTGTTTTACAGGGAATGTGCTGAAGGTGTTGACACTCTTGTGAGACTCTTACAGACTCATTGCTGTCAAACACACTCTTACTGTCTCAGAGCCTGTAGTCCACACTAGATGTGTCATGTGTAGTGAGCAGGCTTCACCTCTTTCAGGAAGGTCCTCTGTGTTTCCTCATCGAATCGAATGAGTTCCTTCATCACCATCACCTCTCCCGTCTCTCTGTGAGTCACCTGACAACCACACACACACACACACACACACACACACACACACACACACACACACACACACAGAGCAGCATGATACCACAGTACTCACACTAGCATACTCATACTGCATGTGCCACAGTCTGCTGAGAACACTATGCTCACGACACACTGTATACTGCATACGTCCTGATGACATTTACACATAGTATGTGAAACAGCGTATTATGAAGTGAAGAGAATTTCCAGCAGAAGCTGCTGCAGCATTCAGACCTCACTAATGCTGAATGATGTGTGTGTGTGTGTGTATGTGTGTGTATGCGTGCGTGTGTGTGAGTGAGTGAGTGAGTGAGAGAGAGAGAGAAAGAGAGTGTGTGTGTGAGTGAGTGAGTGAGTGAGAGAGAGAGAGAAAGAGAGTGTGTGTGTGAGTGAGTGAGTGAGTGAGAGAGAGAGAGAAAGAGAGTGTGTGTGTGAGTGAGTGAGTGAGTGAGAGAGAGAGAGAAAGAGAGTGTGTGTGTGAGTGAGTGAGTGAGTGAGAGAGAGAGAGAAAGAGAGTGTGTGTGTGAGTGAGTGAGTGAGTGAGAGAGAGAGAGAAAGAGAGTGTGTGTGTGAGTGAGTGAGTGAGTGAGAGAGAGAGAGAAAGAGAGTGTGTGTGTGAGTGAGTGAGTGAGTGAGAGAGAGAGAGAAAGAGAGTGTGTGTGTGAGTGAGTGAGTGAGTGAGAGAGAGAGAGAAAGAGAGTGTGTGTGTGAGTGAGTGAGTGAGTGAGAGAGAGAGAGAAAGAGAGTGTGTGTGTGAGTGAGTGAGTGAGTGAGAGAGAGAGAGAAAGAGAGTGTGTGTGTGAGTGAGTGAGTGAGTGAGAGAGAGAGAGAAAGAGAGTGTGTGTGTGAGTGAGTGAGTGAGTGAGAGAGAGAGAGAAAGAGAGTGTGTGTGTGAGTGAGTGAGTGAGTGAGAGAGAGAGAGAAAGAGAGTGTGTGTGTGAGTGAGTGAGTGAGTGAGAGAGAGAGAGAAAGAGAGTGTGTGTGTGAGTGAGTGAGTGAGTGAGAGAGAGAGAGAAAGAGAGTGTGTGTGTGAGTGAGTGAGTGAGTGAGAGAGAGAGAGAAAGAGAGTGTGTGTGTGAGTGAGTGAGTGAGTGAGAGAGAGAGAGAAAGAGAGTGTGTGTGTGAGTGAGTGAGTGAGTGAGAGAGAGAGAGAAAGAGAGTGTGTGTGTGAGTGAGTGAGTGAGTGAGAGAGAGAGAGAAAGAGAGTGTGTGTGTGAGTGAGTGAGTGAGTGAGAGAGAGAGAGAAAGAGAGTGTGTGTGTGAGTGAGTGAGTGAGTGAGAGAGAGAGAGAAAGAGAGTGTGTGTGTGAGTGAGTGAGTGAGTGAGAGAGAGAGAGAAAGAGAGTGTGTGTGTGAGTGAGTGAGTGAGTGAGAGAGAGAGAGAAAGAGAGTGTGTGTGTGAGTGAGTGAGTGAGTGAGAGAGAGAGAGAAAGAGAGTGTGTGTGTGAGTGAGTGAGTGAGTGAGAGAGAGAGAGAAAGAGAGTGTGTGTGTGAGTGAGTGAGTGAGTGAGAGAGAGAGAGAAAGAGAGTGTGTGTGTGAGTGAGTGAGTGAGTGAGAGAGAGAGAGAAAGAGAGTGTGTGTGTGAGTGAGTGAGTGAGTGAGAGAGAGAGAGAAAGAGAGTGTGTGTGTGAGTGAGTGAGTGAGTGAGAGAGAGAGAGAAAGAGAGTGTGTGTGTGAGTGAGTGAGTGAGTGAGAGAGAGAGAGAAAGAGAGTGTGTGTGTGAGTGAGTGAGTGAGTGAGAGAGAGAGAGAAAGAGAGTGTGTGTGTGAGTGAGTGAGTGAGTGAGAGAGAGAGAGAAAGAGAGTGTGTGTGTGTGTGTGTGCGCTCACCTTTATGGCCTGTCCGAAGCAGCCTGTACCCAGAACCTCTCCATGGATCAGGTCGGAGGCTCTGAATATTCGGTGTGTGCTGCTGGACACGACGCGCAGCGACTCGGAGCGGCCGATGTCTTTCCTCAGAGACAGTGGAGACGGAGTGTTACTGGAGCACGGAGATTTATCGATACTGTAGCTGCGCCTGCGCAAACACACACACTGACTGTTAAAATCACACTGCTATCAGCCTCAATGAACTCAAACAGCACAACATGCATCACAACAAATTCAATCTGATCCAGCACAACAGATTGTGTAGGTTGTTATCATGCAGTAACTGGTAGCATGTTGCTATGCAGTGAGTTACATGACAATGCTTGGATATTTGATGAAACACTAATTACTGTATGAGTTATAGCAATCGATTACTGACTTAACAAACAACACCAATAATACAGCAAATAATAATCCAATCCAATCTACTCAGAAAAGTTAAACACAGATGCACATATTATTTCACACTGTGTCGTGCACTGGCTATATTTGTGATCAGCGCTGTGTGCTTTACTGACGTGATGATCCGCGAGCGCAGGGTGTTAATGTCCTGGCTGGGGGGCCGTGTGATGGGCGTGATGGGACTGGGACCCTCAGACGGGGGTGTCGGCCCGTCCACCTGGTCCTCCGAGGGGCTGTGGTCATGAGGGTCATGTTCAATGGTCAGCTGCAGCAGACGACTGGTCTCCTGGATCAGCAGATCGATCTGACACACACACACACACACACACACACACACACACACGAGGCTCTGAGTCACACACGCTGTCATGAATGAATGCTTGAACTGACGGAGAGTCCGTCTGCAGTCATGCTGACTGTCGCTCAATAGTGAGTGTGACTCATCTGCACAAGGGCTTTATTCACCTCGTCCAGAGGAACGTTCTGGATTGGGGTTCCATTGATCTCCAGGATCCGGTCGCCAACATGAATGGAGCTCTTGACGTCTGGACTGATGCACTCTGGGTCCACCCTGAGCACACGGACAAAACCACAGAGACACATGAAGCCCAGCACATGAGCCAGAGGATCCAGACAGACATCAGGAACACACACATGACTTCTGATGAAACACATCACTGGCCAGACTCCTGCTGATCATCTTTAGTCTTTAGTCACACCTTCTCAGTCATGCACAGATCTTTGTCAGGATTCTCCTGTTCTGCATGTCTAAACATTCTCACACGCTCTGTCTGTACATTCAGCATGTTTCACACTCACTCGGAGACTCTGACGGTGTGTGTGTGTTCGGGGCTGAAGCTGTTGGGACTGGAGCCCTGATCGATGGACACGGATAAGCCTCGTTTCCCATCGGTGGAGGCGGGAATAGACACTAGCGTGACCGTGTGAGGAATCCTGGAGCACGGCGAGTCGGGCAGAGTGACGGGAGTCACGATCGTCTGATAATAACAGTGTCCACTAGAGGGAGACACAGCAGATCATCAGCACACTCAATGCGTCACAAGAGCTCATTTAACAACATCATTACAACATCATGCATGAAAAACACTGAGAGCTCAGATATCAACAAATGATATGGACGCTTCCCACTGAAGATTTAAGGTACAATGATTTTAGAAGTTCATAAAACCTTTTAAAGGCAAGAAGCATTCGTTATATCACGGCTTCCAGATGAACTGGTGACCTTTTACTTCTGTAAACATTAGCAAACGTCTACTTACAATGCTTAACATAAGAACTGGTTAAACAGTTCAAATGTCCGAGCTGCCATGCAATTATTATAACGTTGTGGTTATGATTATGAAAGTAAGTTGATAAGGGCTTACTAATCATTCTGGGATGTACAGAGGTTGAAACGTTTTTGGTAATGCTTTATATTAGGGAACAAGTATTCACTATTAACTAAGAGGTTCCCCTCAATTAACTCTTAATTTGCCGCTTATTGATAGTTAGTAAGGTAGTTGTTGTAGTAGTTATACTTAGGTATGGTGTTTAGGATTAAGCGATCTAAAATATGTTCATGCAGAATAAGACATTAATGTGTGCTTTATAAGTACTAATAAACAGCCAATCTGCTAGTAATATGCATGCTAATGAGCAACTAGTTATTAGTGAACAGTGTCTCAACAGTGAACAACATTCACAGGGTCTATTAGTGATTTATTCACATGTTATTCTGACTGAAATCATACACATTCATCATGCTAACCGGTGGTCTGATATGGACAGACTTCTAGCTGATTCAGATGATCAAACTGTAGATTTCAATATATTGCTACAGTAACTGAAATGTAAAAATGAAGTATACATTTGTTCAGTTGGTTTGCAGAATTGGCTGTTAGTTAAAACAAAGAAACTGCCAAATCATGTTTTATTGACCAACTTCTTGACTCCTCATGAATAAAGCCCACGTTCACGGCTCGTTCACAGCTTTATGAACTCACTCCACTGGGAAACATTAGTGCATCTTCAGCACCGTTACAGCACACACTAATAACCCATAACGCACACGCTCAGATCCTGGTTTACATGTCAAGAACTGGAGCCATGTTTCACGTGAATAATGTGACGGTAATTCAGACGTGTGCTGATTCAAGAGGCTGCGGTCACTCACCAGTAGAGTTTGGATCGCTCCACCAGAGCATACGTGTCTCCATCACCGATGAACCCTCGGCAGCTCAGACAGGTGAAGCATTCTGGGTGATACTTCTGTTCTCCGGCGACCTGGAGCACACAGACACTGATATTTTATTTTGTGTTGCTGTTTGTTAGGACATTCCTGTAAGATACTGTTAATCTCAGTGAGGTTCCCTCCTGGTTAACTAAAGGTAAATCAAGAAATGCTTAAAGTTAAAGGTTCACAAGGTTCAGCCCCGTCAGTGTAGTGTTACTAACGTAACTGAGAAAAAGGACTTTTAGTAACTCATCTCACGTCTCTTTGCTTCATCCTGAAAGAGCAAAAGAACAGATTCTGAATGACTGTCAATGTCATCATATGCTTGAGAACAGTAAAATGCTAAACTCTGTTGTCCTTCACAGCAGTCAAAGAGACAGAATCATCACACTGACATTAATTCATTCACATTAGCACTGATACTCACAGCAGAAGAACACCAGCATATATCTCACTGTTCATTACACTCAACTTTCATTTGCACTGATTTCCATATAAAAGAGTGACATTAGAAACAGGAATGAGAAGTTGATCTGATGACAGTCTAGTTTACCTACGCACACGTGTGCTCACGCTCTCCTTATAGCGGTGACATTTCGCTATGTAACACAATGATCAGGGTCCGTACACATTTTAGCAATACATTTCCTTAACTTTTCCATGACTTGAAACAATATTCATGACCTAACGTTCCATTATTTTACAATAAGAATAAAAAACTGTTCAACTTTATCATAGCATATGTTAACTAAAATGAATGACCATTAATGCTACTTATTTGCTTTCTATTTGTTTTAATAATAAGTACAAGCTGCGGCATTTACTCCACGCAGAGAACATATCATCACATCACAGAATATTATAATTTATTTAACCAATATTATCAGTTAATAGCGCAGCTGTTTTCCTCCAGCTAAGAGCACAGCTGAGGAAAACAAAACTAGAGGTATTTCGTATTGCTTGGCGGGAAAGTATGCTATCCTACAGAAAAGCATTAAAAACTGCTAGATCTGATTACTTTTTGTCTCTTTTAGAAGAAAACAAACACAACCCGAGGTATTTATTCAATAGTGTCAAAATTAACGAAAAATAAAGCATCAACATGTGTTGACATTTCCCAGCAACACAGCAGTAATGACTTTATGAATGACTTTACTTCTAAGATCGATACTATTAGAGATACAATTGTAACTATGCAGCCGTCAGCTACAGTATCGCATCAGATAGTGTGCTATAGATCGCCTGAGGAACAATTCCACTCATTCTCTACGATAGGAGAGGAAGATTTGTATAAACTTGTTAAATCATCTAAACCAACAACATGTATGTTAGACCCTATTCCATCTCAGCTCCTAAAAGAGGTGCTTCCAGACGTCATAGATCCTCTTCTGACTATTATTAATTCATCATTGTCATTAGGATATGTCCCCAAAACCTTCAAACTGGCTGTTATTAAGCCTCTTATCAAAAAACCACAACTTGACCCCAAAGAACTAGTTAATTACAGTTAATTAATTAGTTATTAATGCTGTATTATCTCGAATCTCCCTTTTCTGTCCAAGATACTAGAAAAGGTAGTATCCTCACAATTATGTTATCGGTGAGGATTTCCAGTCAGGATTTAGACCGTATCATAGTACTGAGACTGCTCTCATTAGAGTTATAAATGACCAGCTCTAATCATCTGATCGTGGTTGTATCTCTCTATTAGTGCTACTGGATCTTAGCACTGCGTTCGACACTATCGACCACAACATTCTTTTGAATAGACTAGAAAACTTTGTTGGCATTAGAGGAAGTGTATTGGCATGGTTCAAATCGTACTTATCTGACCGACATCAGTTTGTAGCAGTGAATGAAGAGGCATCATATCGATCACAAGTGCAGTATGGAGTACCTCAAGGCTCAGTACTAGGACCGTTACGCTTCACGCTTTACATGTTACCCTTGGGAGATATCATCAGGAAACACGGTGTTAGCTTTCACGGTTATGCTGATGATACTCAGCTCTATATTTCTTCGCAGCCCGGCGAAACATACCAATTTGAAAAACTAA